CAGTCGAGTCATAGGCAGACCGAAACAGAGTCGCGTTCAGACAATTACTACTAAACCTGATTGTTCGTACTAACACGTTCTACTTCTCTGTATATATTCCTGTTTGTAATATATCTGTTATTCCATATACGTGTTCGAATTCTTATTTGGTTCTACCTTGGACTATCACCGTGATACAAGGAACCGGACCATAACACACACACACACACAAAACAAAATAAATAAAAAATGAAGAAAAGTAATAAGATTAAGATACGTTGAAGAGTGTCAGCGTTTATATTCTTTTGGGTAAAATGTATTTACTTTCTAAATACCCTAATATTTTAATATTTTTTCCTTTTATGAACTTTCTGGCAAAGCAGTTACTTTCCGATCACCCAAAATACATATAACTACTGTATTTTCCGGCTTGGAAGACGCATCCTAATTTGGAAAGAATTTCTAAAACAAAGACAGTCGTTCTCATATAAGATATTCACCATACGTCCCTCACATCCTGACGTCACGTATTGTTTACATTAATCACTCGTCCGATTTTGTTTGTATGGCAATGACATACTAGTCAAGAACATCTTTAAGCTTGTCGCTCATTTCCAGGAAGGTTTCAATTCCTATATAGAAATATCATTGTTCCCGTCTTTTCGTATCAGCTTCAGTCATTTTTCTTCTCCCGTAGAGTTGCCTAACTGTTTCTTTTCTATAAATTCACTATGCGTCCTTCACATCTTGACGCCACGTATTGTTTACATTAATCACTCATCCGAATTTGTTTGTATGGCAATGACATAAAAATGAAGAGCAGAAAGATTCCCACCGCTGCTAGTTAACAGAGCCTTTTTAAGCTTGTCGCTTGACTCCAGGAAAGTGTATAGAAATATTTGTAACAGCTAAGTACTGAGGTTACATCATATAAAAGGCTGAATTAAATAGCTAACTTTATAGTGTAATGACTCAACATACAAATCCACGTCTCTATCAGTTAAGCTAATTAGGTGACCGTCCAAGCTTACCTGCGCCTGGGCATTGCCCCAAATTCATCTTGGAATACGCACACGTATTTTTCAGGGTATGTTTTAGGGAAAAAAGTAGCTCTTGTATGCCAGAAAATACGGTATTTCTTCAATCATTTTCACCACATGTATGTCAGTAAAGCCACTAAGACATAAGGGTGTGGAGGAATTACGAATACAAACATTAATAATGAGCAGAACGAGAAACGAACAATCAGGAGTACAGTAGATATCGATTGATTTTGAATTTAAAATTTTGCAGATTAAAGTTGAATGGAAAGCATGAAGCCGGAACGGATTTCCATAGGCGAGAACTGCGAAAAAACGAAAATATTTCCGTAGAATTTACGGTTACATCTAGCTAGCTCAACTGTAAAATGAGATCTCGACGCCGGTCTGGTACTGTGCTTAAATTCATGAAGTCTAGGTACCATAGCGAAAGGTTCATCCGAAGAATTAACATGAAAGTATTTGTAGAAAATTCATACAGAGTCAACTTTACGTCGATGGGGAAGTAACTGAAGCCAGATCAGGACTTATAACATGTTTGATTCTTCTTTGGGTTTTATCAAGGAACTCTAAGTAAATATCAGGGGCTCCGGGCCAAGCATGGAGGAATAGTAGAATTATAGATATGTATGATAGGTTATAAAAAGAAATAAAACCTTTCTGTTTAAAACGTAATTACTCTTCGAATATGCTAATATGGCAGTTATGAAAAACCACCGATATATATATATATATATATATATATATATATATATATATATATATTGTCGGTGTATTTAGGCAGCATTTTTTGATTCATAAATGACGTCACACATGACCACGCGAGAGTGAATTCGAGAAGTATTAATCATCAGCTGCGATGCGATTTCCGCTTCCAGCGTCTTATATGCACGTGTTTATCATTGCTTGGAAATCATCCATGTAAACAGAAACAGACTATCATCACTGTCTTGTCCGTGTATTGCTTAATATATTGTACAGTAATTGTCATCTTTGATAATGGCTTATGTAAGCCGAAAGCTTAGATTGGATTAAAAAATATGTATCAATATTGTAATTTTCTTTTTCTTCGTTTAATGATAATGTTATTAAGCTTATCAGACGTTATGAAAAGAATTTACATAAATTAAATAGACAAAACTTGTCTATATTAATGAAACATGTATGAATATATATATATATATATATATATATATATATATATATATATATACCTAAGTATATAATTGGTATATATGGAATGAATTCCAATAACCAACAATTACTATTCTTAAAAGAGTGCTCAATACAGTAGAGCAGATATAATTATTATTTATAAATAAGCTATATATATATATATATATATATATATATATATATATCTTCAAATTTTTGTTTTTTTATCGTAATGTTTCAACCGAAGGAGCAAAGGTCGTCACATAATTCTACAGAATACCGGATAAACTATTAACTGAAAAGGTAACATGAAACCATAGAGGTAACTGATGTGTAGATATTGGATAATTCTACGTCATAAGCTGGACTTGTTTGAGAACTACACACGCAACGAGATATTTCAGTTGTGAAGAATAGTTTAAGCGAATAACTTTCGATCGATAAAGACAAGGAATTGCTTTAGGGCATTATCGTAATGTTACCATAAAAACTTGGCGAATCTATTTTTAGAATTTGATCTTGGAGAGGTGTACTCCACCGACATCGTAAGATGCACAAATCGCATTGTTACGTATAACCACCACTGCACACGTGAATAAACACCTAAAGAAGACTCCACTCTCAAGTAACATTAAGCAACATGATTACAAATACTACTGACACTAGCGTTTCTTTTACGACAATCTATGTCGTAAAATTCGTTCGCAATTACACTTCAGAGTTGTGCAAATATTTTAGAATTATGAGATTCCTTCAAGCAATTGGTGGCCAGTTATCGAACTTAATGCATCGTTTCGAAGATTGATATATCTTTACATTCAGTTTAGGTAACAGCTAGCCTAGTTTACACTGTAAATTAATCATAGCACTTTCTAGGTATGATCCGTTTTTATTGGAGTCAGGTACTAGGCTACACGGAGTTCTTTATAAGTCAGTACAGTTGGAATTCCTTCGAAACCTAATGAGGAAGTAGGTCTTGGACAACTTAACCCTCACAGAGTTTACTGAGGGTAAAAGAGTTAAGGGAAGACAGCGAGCCACTTAACCGACGAGCATATTAGAATGGATAGTGGAACGCAGGTAGAGTGAACCTTAGAGCATTATGGGATGGCCAGTTGGGGAGAGCCATGATCGCTAATGTTCTGAAGGAACACATAGAAGAAAATGTCTTCCCATAGGTGGTAACAAGATAAGCACATCGTATTTCTATTCTCGTTTGTAATCATTCACTATAACAAAAACATTTTCAACACTAAGGATGAATTAGTCAAATAAAGCTTCATCAGTTTCTATTCACAGTTGTTGCTATATTAAACCATAGTTTTAGTTTTTGAGTATGCCTGTCTGGTTGGTTGGTTAGCTAATCCTAACTATGTTGCAGACATCTGCTTAGGCACATTTGTATGTGTTCGACAGCCACAGATCGAAGCTGATGTTTATTCTTCAACTCTTCTGGGCTGAACTTAGGTACAGTTTATAAGAGCATAATCAGATCTGACCACTAGACAGACAACGTTTAAAATTTTGGTCACAATGACTTGTGACATTGTGGCGAAGGATATAAAAAACGACGAATGGAAATGAGTTGAAAACAGAAAAAAAAACCTACGATCAATGGAAAAGACTTGAAAACAGAAAAAAAAAACAATGGAAATTAGTTAAAAACAGAAAAAAACGACGAACTGAAATGAGTTGAAAACAGAAAAAAACGACGAATTGAAATGAGTTGCAAAACAGAAAAAAACGACGAATTGAAATGAGTTGAAAACAGAAAAAAACGACGAATTGAAATGAGAAAAAAATGATCAATGCAAATGAGTTGAAAACAAAACAAACCGATTTATGAAAATGACATGAAAACCAAAAAAAAAAAAAAAAAAACGACGAATGGAAATGAGTTGAAAACAGAAAAATACGATCCATGGACATGACATTAAAACTGAAATAAAGCAAAAGATAATGTGGTGAATATCGACAACGAAGGAAAAAATAATATGAGAAATAAAAACAATGGCCAGAAATGCACTGAAAAAATCGTGTTATTTAAAGTAAATCAAAAATCCCCAATATATGCAGCTGAGCAGAACTTACTGTAAAAATATGAGAAAGAACCGAACCTGAACACAGGAATTTCTCATAATTTAAATTGTTACGTTACACAAACAAATAAAATATTGTGATAAAATAAGATGGGCATTGAAAAGGACAACTGCAAGTAAACGAGATGGTGGCAGGAAAAATGGAATAAAAGCAGATGAAGAGACAACGCGTATAAAAAGGAAAAAATATCTAGGTAAAAAAAGAAAAGTGAGGATGCTGTAAAAGGACAATAAAATGTGGAAAGTAAGCTAAATAGGTGGAACGTCTGAAAGATGATTCTGAAGATAAAAGGCGGAACAGTGTGGTTCAGACTGTGAGATAAACACCGCCACGACGAGACGTTGGGCAAAATGTCCTAGATTTCTTGTCATTAGAGGTAGATTTGCCGGCAGTCGTGAGGTATGCTTAGCTGTAAAAATTTCACAGAGTAACGATGACTGGATATTCGAGGCTGTAGCAATGGTTCGGATTGGGGTAGTCATACGGACGAGCTGTCGTATATTACAGGCTTCAGAGTATGGGTCGATAAATGGCTGGTAGGACGTGTCTTCAGCGGTGGCTAATTACTATAAGTAGGTGTTTGGAGGGCACTCAGACACAAGCGCCCTGAGGCGCATAGAGCTCGCATACATAGGAGGGAAAACTGGGAGAGGATGGACAAGAAGTAATGGGAAAGACGCGATTGCAAAAATAGATATAGCGCTATTTGGGTGCATGTAAATATCCCTATGGGAAGGGAAAAGGGGTAAATCTAACGAGAGAGAAGAGGAGAGAAAGAAGAGACAGGGGAGAGAGAGAAGAGATAAGGGGGAGAGAGAAGAGAGAAGGAGAGAGAGAATAGAGAGGGGGAGGAGAGAAGAGAAAAGGGGAGAGAGAGAAAGTGAGAGAGAGCGAGGAGAGAGAGAGGGGGGGAAGTGAATGAGACAAGAAAGAGACAAGGAAAGGGAGAAGAGAAATGGAAAAAGTGAAAGAGAGGAGAGAGAAGGGAAAAAGAGCGAGAGAGAATAAAGAGGGAAAAGAGGAAGAGAGGAGAGACAGGGAGAAAGAGGTAGAGAGAAAGAAATTGAGAGAGAGGAGAGAGAAGAGAGAGAGAGGGAGAAAAAAGAGAGAGAAGAGAGAAAAGAGAGGGGAGATAAAGAAAAGAGAGAGAAGAGAGAAAGAAGAGAGAGAGAGTGAAAAGAGAGAAAGAAAAGAGAGAGAGTGGAGAGAGAGAAAGAAAAGAGAGAGGAGAGAGAGAAAGAAAAGAGAGAGAGTGGAAAGAGAGAAAGAAAAGAGAGAGGAGAGAGAGAAAGAAAAGAGAGAGTGGAAAAAGAGACAGAAAAGAGCGGGAGTGGAAAAATAGAAAGAAAAAAGAGCGAGAGTGGAAAGAGAGAAAGAAAAGAGAGAGAAAGAAAAGAGAGAAAGAAAAGAGAGAGAGAAAGAAAAGAGAGAGAGAAAGAAAAGAGAGAGAGAGAGGGGAGAGAAAGAAAAGCGAGAGAAAGTGGAAAGAGAGAAAGAAAGAGATAGAGAGTGGAAAGAGAGAAAAAAGAGAGAGAGAAAGAAAAGAGAGAGAGGGTGAGAAGAGAGAAAGAAAAGAGAGGGAGATGGTGAGAAGAGAGAGAGAGAGAGAGAGAGAGAAGAGATTATACTACAGCGGGGTGAGTACAGAAGAAAAGCCACGCCCCTGATGTGCTGGTGGTTAGGGGCTTGGTTCGAGAAATCTGCCAGTAAAGTTACATTCACTTTCGTGAATATGCACCTGAGAAAAGCCATACTCCATCTCTTCACCCCCCCAAGTATAGGTTAACTAGCAAAGTTGTCCCGCTGGATTGTCTACTCTCATTTGTCAACCAGTGTAGAAGGAGGAAAACTGAATTCAAATCCGTATATAGCCTTCTCATTGATCATAACATACAGTCATGAACAAAATCTGAGAGTTCACAGTGACTAATCAGGACTGCACTGATATTGGCTTTTTATTATATAAAAGAAGGAAATTATCTATTGACAGTTTCGTCCCTTTAATTGAGAAAGTGTGACACACTGACATTGGCATTTATTATATAAAAGAAGGAAATGAACTATTGACAGTTGCGTCCCTTTAATTGAGAAAGTGTGACACACTGACATTGGCATTTATTATATATAGATATACAAGTTACTAACAGAAGATATATTCTTCATTTCTAAATACGGCCAGTATATTCTGGCAGTGTTCGTATTTCAAGGGGACATTTGAGATTGCTTTTATATCCCTTGTTGTGCCATCTTATTCTTTTACACCATCTAAAATAGCACTTAGAATACTATAAAAATAGTGTATAACACAAATAATCCTTGCAAATGGCTCACATTATCGCCGATAGCACTCGGAACCAATAAATATCTGAACAATTTTTACAATCATCAACTCCAGAAAAGAACACACTTGTACGCAGACGAGAAAAGCATAATAAAAAATCTAAACAAATTTGTCTGTCTTGTTCAGCGAAATATCCTATAATTAAGAACATCATTGGTCAAGGTAATATTGGTAAAAGTTTCTCATTGGACAAGATTTTAGTAAAGACGACAAACAGAATTTTCGATGATTTGTTTAATGAATTTCTCTAGTTTCCTGAAATGACATTGAATTCCGATACATCAGTCAGTCAGATATATGCCATGCGTGATACACGCTTAGGCGATCATATATCTTTCAATACATGACTGCTAAGACAGATTTTTTTTTCTGCAGTAGGTTGCCATTTCTTACTGCAGCAGACCAGTTGCCATCCAAGGCTGGGGTGTGAAGAAGAGGATTCATACCTTACCCAAGGGTATTTGCACGTAAGTGAATGTGATAGATTCGACTGGAATTCGAACGCGACACTACGATTCCTCAATCGGAGCCGCTATCCATTATGGCACCGTACTTTTCGAAATACAAGAGGTTACATTGGGAAAATAAAGAAAACATTCATCAAGTGTTTCTTGAATTTTAATTGCATTTATTGAAAACTAAAAAAAAAAAAGAAGATCGCTGAAGATGTCATTACGGGTAGATTATGCAAAAGCCCGTAGCTAAATATATGTTAACTTCTATTAAAAATAGTGAAAAATCAGTAATAAGGAATTAGTAAAGTAGTTTGTTGTTTTTAAATTGGAGCTTACAGATCCTTTTGTAGTTATTTAAAGTCGAAACATATTTGGGGGCGTAATAATCACCAAAAATCATGTTTCTTATCGGAAGTTGCTTGAGAATCGGAACTGGATGAGAATTTCAAAATTTGATTGTAATATCGCATTTTGTGATTTCACTTACTAGCGTTTAAACACAGAGATAATATATAACATTTACTGAACAGGGGTTACGAAGTGCACAATAAGTGATGCGGTCAGTTCATATGTAGCATAGAAAAGTCATAAAGGATTTTGCTTATTTTGAAGAGTTTTAGAATTCAGAATTGGTTTTAATCTCTTATTATGCCGAATTTATCAATTAAACTTCATATATATTTATTAAAGAACTGAGTAAGATATATATATATATATATATATATATATATATATATATATATATATGTGTGTGTGTGTGTGTGTGTGTGTGTGTGTGTGTGTGAAAATATATAGAAAATAGGAAGGAACTGGTTAGGTAAATAATCCAAAGTCCCTTAGTATTTTAGTTATTATTTTAAAAATAATGCTCGATACAAATGTCTCGATTTGGAATCATATTTTTAAATAAAAATAATTATATATATATATATATATATATATATATATATATATATATATTATATATTGATTGATCACATCTATCCAACCAAATATGTTAGCTCTATCTCTGATATTGAGCGCTTTCTAATAAGTACCGCCCATATAATATATAAATAATTATACATATATATATATTTATTTATATTTATATACACTTTTCACACACACACACACACACACACACACATATATATATATATATATATGCTAATGAGGATGATAAAAACGAATCTTCGATCCGTCATATATCTTTTATTACAGTATATTGTTAGAATTGTTCTATTTTATTATTAGTTATTCTTGTTAATTAAACGTTTTAAATCGATAAAACTTTCGAACCACTCTGTACATTGCTATAAACATTCTAGTATTAATTATTGTGGTTAATCTTTTATTGTGCCTAATAAGATCTACGATAAAAATAAATCTTCTGCCTCATAACTTTTATTCCAGTTTGTTTTTAGTATTGCAAGTGAATATTGCATTTACAGTTTTTTAAGAAAAATAATTTTTCCAAACACAACCAATAAATATTTAAACGATTTTTACAATCATTGTAAAAGATTTTTTTTCATTGGACAAAATTTTATTACAGACGACAAACAGAAATTTTCGATGATGTCTTTAATGACTTTCTCTGGCTTCCTAAAATGACACTGGATTCCGATACATAGGTTTCGAAATACGAGAGATTACATCGGGAAAATAAAAACAAATTTATCAAGTGTTTCTTAAATTTCAATTACATTTATTTAAAACTACAAACGGGTAGAATATGAAAAAGCCCGTAGCTAAATATACGTTAACTTCTACTAAAAATATAGAAAAATCACTAATCACGAATTAGTAAAAATAGTCACTTTTGGTGTTGATTTTTTTTTATTTGAGCTTACATATCCCTTTGGGGTTATTTAAAAGCAAAACACACTTGGGGGCTTAATAATCAACAAAAATCATGTTTCTTATCGGAATTGGCCTTCTGGTTGAGAATTTCGAAATTTGATTGCAATATTGCACTCAGCGATTTCACTTATTAGGTTGGTGCAAAAAATAATGACGTAATAATGTCGTTTTTGAAATATTTTTAACGTCAAAAAACGACATTATTACGTCATTATTTTTGCACCAACCTAATAGTTGCGGTTAAACACAGAAATAATTTATAATATTTACTGAGCAGGGGTTACGAAGTGCACAACTAGTGATACAGTCAGTTCATATGTAGCATAGAAAAATCATAAAGGATTCTGCTTAATTTGAAGTGTTAGAATTCAGAAAAAATCTTAATGATGTTGCTAAGCCACAAGTTAACTTGTCATATCGTGTGAATGTTCATCTAGCACGCTGCAATGGTTATGACTCTTGCTTTGGTTTTAAAGTACAGACACTCGTCTACCAATCAATAAGTCATCTAGTTTTTAACCAGATTCAAGACCGTCTAGATTGTGACGGTCAGTTTGTCACTCTTCAGATGTCCATGTGCATTAGTGTCACCGCATTCTGCTGTCGATGCAAAAGCTGTTATTTGAGTCTTTCCTTCGATAGAACAAACTGTAGCGATAGGGGTACCATTGTTGTTTATTTCCGACGGGATCATCAAATATGTAGCTGTTGTATTATCATCGTTGTAGTGATTAAGTTACCAATATTTAACTTGGGATAGGAAATATGAGATTAAGGACAATGCGTGAAATGCAATGTAATTTATACTTGACGTAAATAGCACATAGAATAAAATACAAAACTGAACTGAATGATTCCAAAACATAACAATTAGATTTATTAATGTTTGATGTACATTCATGCGAACTGAAAAGTTAGGACAGAGTCGTGTCCCTTTGATTAGGTATTAGTTGTACCGGAGTTCATATTAAGAAAGTTTGAAATTGTGAGTTGTAAAGTTGGTAAAAGTTCAGGAGTGATTTCAGAGTTCGTGAATGTTGGTAATTGTCTTTAACGTCTGGTCAGCAATGACTAAGACGGGAGTCGGTGAAGGTTACATCTTGGCACTTGGTCGCAAAAAATGGGAAGTGCAAGAGAGATTAATGAAAAACTACTCTAAGAGTTCACACGTATTGGGTTTATATAATGGTCAAGTGGCTCCTAGCATATGAGCGGGAAAACAGATTGGTCACGTGCAGGCGGTTTGATTGGTCGGAACTGACCAATCAGCAAGTTAGATTGAAGGTGATTGACCAATTAATACTTGTTATATTGTATGAAAGTAGAATTTTACTTACCAGATAGGAAGAGTGCATTTCCTAAAAAAGAGGTAAGGCTGGTTTGTTGTGGAAGATTCCACAAAACCATAGATCAACTATGTTGTCTGGATACACTTGAGCCAAGATTTGCTTTTTTCTACTGAAAGGTTCCTCTATTATGTGATAAGCAGATACAGATTGATTTTCTTATATGATATGTAATATCGTCTCAACAAAGACAGAAGACACCGACTTCCCTAGGATTGACATAGCTACATTCCCTCCACCCCAGGGACACTAAATGCAGGGTGACTCGGCATTTTGTGAAAAGTAACCATTACTCTTGCTCATTGGAATCATAAATTAAAATATACTGAATTGTTTATAATATTAAGTCTGATGTGTTTGATAAGGTCAAATTGGTTGTTGGCCTCAAAATCGACTTACACTCTGCTGTTAACTGGGGTAACGAATGGCTTTTTCATTTTAAAGCCCCCAGAACAAAACTGCTTTCTATTAATCGTCTGATAGATCTCATTCTGCCTTTCATCAGAATCATTAGGCCTTCTCGGGCTAACGTTCTCTGCTGGCATAATGTGGAAAGATAATATTGCAACAATTGTTAGATCTGCTGGGAGGAGAGTCAGTTCTCAGTGTCATGCTACACAATTTTCTCCCTAGGAGCTGTTACATATTTATAAGTCTATCATTCGCATATTTGTGTCGCATATGTCTGGTGCTCCTGCTATATATTTACAGATTCTTAATAAATTCTTCATAAAATCAAAAGAAGTAAAAGCTGCAATGTTATTG